AATCCTCAAATTTTAAAATTTTTCACTAAAGTCACTTACATGATATTTGGAGTATTACATTGGTAAACCAACATCATTTTCCAAAATTTGCATCCATAATGATTTTTAAATTAAATAAAACATCAAGCTCAAACTTTTCAATTTTTAAATATAGGGTAATCGAATAGGTACCAATTTCTGGGCATTGTGGGATGTTAATCTTTCCCCACATGTAACTGACTCCCAAATCCGATTTTTGAATTTCATAGACTAAAATTTGATATTTTTGATAAAATAAAATGTTTTACTAAATTTGATTGGTCTTAATAAACCAATATCATTTTCCAATTGCACCTTAAAAATAATTCGTGTCGATTCCCAACATTTAATCAAAAATCTTTTCAAAATAAAAACTCTATTGTTACAACTAATCGACTCTCTCTTAAGGACTGGTTGCCACAATGAGCAAAGAGAGGAAGTAAACTGGCTTGATACATTTGATTTCAAAAAAAAAAGACGAGTCAAACGAAAATTCATTATCTTTTTTATCTTTGCACTATTCGTATTTCTACGTTAATGGGTAAAAAGGGGAATCTATGTACTCATTTTCGTATGAACTTCAACCATTTAATTTTCAATTTCAAACCTTTAATTTTCAATTTCAAACCTTTAATTTGATTTAAATATACTTTGACCATTTTCTTTTACTATATATTTATAATAAATGAAATTAATTTTTTAAATTAGATTAATTAGTAAGTACATTAAATCAGTAAATAATGAATGATTTTATTAATATATCAAATTATATATATATATATATATATATATATATATTAAAAAATACTAATGTTTATTTTTATTTTTTCGAATTTGAGCTCAAGTCTCATACTTCGAGAGTCGATCAAATTTTGACCAAATTAATCTAGAATAAGTCACAATATGTCATTACAGCCCTAGGGGTGTATAGCAGGAATAGTCTTGAGGGATTTTTATCGCATCAATATCAGATAGAATAGGAAGAGGAGAGTATATAAAGAAGGGGGGAATCCTACATTGATTAAAAAAAAAACTGAAAACAACACAACTCTAGCATAATTTACACACATTAACACAACTCAAAATGCAAACCAAGTGAGAGATAAAAAAGCAAAGTAGGTAACTAAAAAAGGAGTAGAAGATCCAATATACAAGCAGCACTTCTCATTTCAAGCTCTGGTCTTGAAAGGAATAGCTCTAATAATTATCTGGTGGTAAATTGCAGCAAGAGCAGCTCCAATGAAGGGTCCAACCCAGAAGATCCACTGCAACCAAAACACAAGAATTTTAATTGATCTCGAACGATGAAACTAGAAAAGATTGGGGAATGATACTAACATGGTCATCCCATGCATGGTCTCTGTTGTATATGATGGCAGCTCCAAGACTCCTGGCTGGGTTGATACCAGTCCCAGTGATGGGAATGGTGGCTAAATGAACCAAGAACACCGCAAACCCAATCGGAAGGGGAGCCAAAATCTGCAATTGCAGTACCAACAAATTCATTACTAATGCAGAACTCCATCTAGACTTTGAAGATCTACACTACCACTATCAATTATAATGAACTTATTGACCAGGAACCAATCTAGCATACTTTTGTAGGGTATCACAAGATATGGCAGATTGAGGCTGTAAATTATGCAATGAAAGCAAGCTCTTAGCAATCAGAGATGTAACATTGTTTGCTAATTCAAAGATTAGGATGCAAAATTTACCGACTTGGCTCTTGGTCCTAGTGCAATATCTGATTAATCCCTTGACATCTCTCTTAAAGGAAGAAGGATGGATTGTTGCAGGGACGTACACAGGATTTTATGTTAGAAGACGAACTTATAAAGTTTTAAGGGGAACAAACTAATTAAATTTTAGGGGTAGAAACATATTTTCAATAGAAAATACAAATAAAATAACTAACATATATAGGAATTTGAATTTTTAGGGACTCGGTCCATCCCTAGATTGTTGGTCAAATTTAAGGCTTGAGAATCAAAGATCATATGAAATCACAAACAAATTGGGTCTGTCTCTAGCCAAAACCACCATGTATCTCCATTGGAACTGTAGAGGGGCTAGGCTTGAGTCTTTTAACACTTTCATTTCTATTTCCTCCCCCTTAGGAAGCCTGTTAATAACATGACTTGGTGTTGAACCTAGCTAAAACCTTCAGAAACCTAAATATTATTTAATTTAGGAACCAAATTATATGTTATGTGGTGCTTAAACACTAAAATATCCCTTGATATCTCCAGAATGGACAGAGATAGATAAAAATCAAGTTATGAGAAAAGAATGGTAAAAAGTATATACTATAAAAGGGCAAGAAAACAAAACATACAGGAACATGAGAGTCTCTGGCGTTTCTCTTGGCATCAGTGGCCGAGAAAACAGTGTAGACAAGAACAAAAGTGCCAATGATCTCAGCACCAAGACCTGACCCCTTGGTGTAGCCATGGGCCACAACGTTAGCTCCACCACCCAACATCTGATACCGACTGTCCCCTTGGAATCCCTTCACCACACCGGCTCCGCATATGGCACCAAGGCACTGCATGACCATGTAGAACACTGCCCTTGTAAGGGACAGTTTCCTGGCTAGCAACAGCCCAAATGTCACAGCAGGGTTTATGTGCCCACCTGAAGTTACACAAAAAACACACAGATCTGGTTATTCAACATCATAACATGCAAGAAAAATTCAAATTTTGAGCTTAAACCAAAGAAACAAAGCCAGAATCTTTCCTTTAAAAAGTTAAAAGGAAGGTGACCTGAAATGCCAGCAGTGCAGTAGACAAGAGCAAAGATCATGCCCCCAAAAGCCCAAGCAATGCCTTGAATACCAACGGTGGTACACTTGGTCTTAGACTGGGACACGCCCATTACAGTCAAGATGGTGATGTAAAGGAACAAGAAGGTGGCCATGAACTCTGCGATTCCAGCTCGGTAGAAAGACCATGACTTAAGTTCACCAGGCTCAAACAAAGGTGCTGGTGGTGGCTCCTTGTAGTCCTTGTCGGACTGGGCAGATGTCCCAATAGGTTGTCTCTCTGAGAACTTGTTTGCTCCTAGCTTAACATCCTCCTCTTTCCCCTCCATCTTCTTTCACCCACTCAACAAGCAAAGATTTAAGCTTTTCTTTTTTTCTCTCTCTCTTAAAAAGAAACCCAAGCCAAACTAGTGATGATGAGATAAAGCTGAAAAGCAGGTGCCTTTATAGATGGGATAATGTAGTCACAGTAAGGGTGGCTCAAAGCGGAGAGGAAAAATGGGTTGTCTTTTTTTGTCTTTTTATTATTTAAATTATTTATTTGATATCATTATTTAAATTATAATGCACAATATTGCCTGGAAATTATGGTGATGAAAAAAAATGTGTGCCAACATAAACACTTTAAGAGGAAATAAAACTCAATTCATTCTGAGTAAATCATCCAAATTAGGGGTTTTTTAAATCAGGTCTCGTAGTTTTAAATATTCGAAATATTATATATTTAGAATTTTGGTAACGTGATATCATAAATTTACATCTTTAAAAAAATAATGACTCTTGTATCTTTTTCTCTCTCGATGTAGTTTTTTAACTCAAAAAATAAATTTAATATAGTCTTTTGGTTAACGTTTTTCACCGTTGATTGTTACGTTGTTGATGTGGCAGTTTACGGTGATGACATGGAGTTTACAATGCTAACATGACTGTTCATTGTAGTTGATGATATGACAGATGAATTAAATTAATTTTTTTATTTTGTTTGAGAGTCAAATTAATTTTAAAAATTCAAGGGCTTATTTATTTTTAAGAAAAAAATAAATATTATTTTAAATTGTAAATATAAAATTATTTAATTATTCAAAAAACTGAAAATATAAAAATACTAAAAATAAAAATTAAATTACTAAAAAATAAATATACATATTAAAAATACTAAAATATGTATAAAAATTTAAAAAATAAATATATATAGTAGGTTATAAAATAATTACTTATAAATTATTTAAAAATTAAAAATATTTTAAAATGATATATTATACATAACATATACATGTAACACGTGTATTATCAACATTTATAAAATGTATTTTTACTAGATTAAACGAGCGTTACAAAATTTAAATTAGTCGAGACTTATAATTTTTGAATTATTCAAAACTTATTATGTTTTTTAATTATTTCTTTTAAATCTCGACTAGTTTAAAAGATAATTATATAATAAGTTTAGACATAAAATATAATTAGAAGACATAGTAAATTTCTACTTATCCAAAATTTGTAAGTTTCAATTAATTTAAATTTTTCAAGTCTCAATTAATCTAATAAGAATATTTTTTATAATTGTTGATAATATGCCTATATATTACATGGATAGGTGTTATCTACTTCTTCAAGTGTCTTTGAGGTGCTTAAAATATGAGGAATAGGTTTGTAAACGTTTATAGCCGTTAGATATGAATTATAGTCATTTAGAGACCTTTTCTCGAGCATAAAAATACATTCTGGAGCTAAAAGTTTTGAAATTTTTAATATAAATTTCGAAACTCTACTTAAATATATGACCGTTGAAGAAATTTTTAACATAAATTTTGAAACATAAAGCTACATTTTTTTTCATATACTATTTTATTTTTTTACTACAATCGCATACTACATTATTATATTTTTCCATTTTTTCATATTCTTTAATTCTTCTTTCAAATTCGTTTGCTTCGTCAGATTGGTAAATTTTCATACTTCTTCTTTTTCACTTCCATCTTATTATGTTCTTCAAGTTTACTCTTATGATCATCAATTATCGACTGTATTGCCTCCTTTACCCACTCCTCATCTGAAGAAGAAATCCAAATCATTAGAGTCGGAGTCGAAAGATCGAAAAATAAAATTTGAAACCACAATTTTCCACATATACATTACATAATTTTTCATTAACTAAATATATTTTTACAAGTTCGATTAACTAAATATGGAATTGGAGTTTGATTAACTCAAAAAAATTACAATAAAGTTTTTAAAATATTACATGATTTTTCATTTCAAGTAAAAAACAATTAAAGATGCTTATGTCCACCCATACCGCACGGTGGTGGACGACGAGCCCGATGCGGATTATTGCGAATCAATCTATCTTCATCATCATCACCATCATAATTACCATCATCATCATCATCATCACTATCATCATCATCATCATCATCATCATCGCCATCACCATTTATATGTGTAGTACCGCAATTGGCATTGGGATCGAGACTGGTGTAGAATATGTTCTGTGGCGGCGTCTACTCAATATTATCGAATCTGAAGTCTATTGCCAATGGTGGAAATTTAAAATACCAGTGGTGGAACAGATACATACGGAAATTACAAATAATGTGGTTGAATTGGTATAGGAAGACAATACGAAGGGACAATTGTAACGTCCCAAAGTCCAGTCGATAGTTTCGGGTCGGTAGTCAAGTTGGTTTTTGGATTTTCGGTAAAAATATTAATATTGGAATTTTTTTTTTGATAAATTTTTCTAAAATGATTTAAATATTTTTAAATTATTAAATTATATTTTTTGGGAATTTATAATTGATTTTACAAAGTGACTAAACTGAATGAATTGAAATTTGTGATTTTAGTGACTAATTTGTAAAGAGATCACAAATCAAAATCTATGAAGCTAGTTTTACCAAGGTTTGTGCTTAGTGTTTTTCCCTCCAAGTTTAACCATATCGTTAATCTCCTTTTTGCTAATTTTTCATCTAGATTCATTCTCGTAATCATTTCTCATTTTCATTCCTAATTCTCTTTAAGTGTTTATTTCATTTTCTCTTATCCAAACACTATTGAATCATTTTCTCTCACAAAATTCTCTTAAGCTCTCTCATGACTGAAACTCTTCTTCTTCATTTTCTATTCCTTTGTTCTTTATTTTTGTTCCTTTCTTATTGATTTTCTCTCTTTAATCAAGATTTTTCTTCTCATTTTCTCTTTTTCGCTTTCTTTGATCTCTTTAGTGTTGTCATTGTTGATCTTCATATTCTTTTTCCATCAAGGTAATTCTCTTTTCCTTCATTCCTTTTGTGCTTCAATGATTAATGATCCAATGTGATTGATGATTTTTATTAAGTAATTCTTTTAAAGAGAAGTTTGTGCATTAAACTTGATTTTTATAAGTATTTATTGTGTTATTTTCTTGATCATTTTCAAGGTTTTCTTGAGTTGATTAAGATTTTTTTATGATATTATTATCATACTAAATCAGTTTTGCAATCTCACTTGATTTGATATCGATTTCTTTAAAACAAGCTTGATTTCAGTTTTTTTAAAATCCAAGAATTTGTATTAATTGAGGTTAGTTATGAGGTTTTACTTGAGTTTAGTTGCTGATATTAGATGTTCTTGATCAAATCTTATTAAGGATGAGTAGTTTCCATTGGATCAGAGGTTTGGAGAGTCGTTTCAATAAGGTTTTCGGTAATTTTGATTTTTTTGCTCTGTTTTAGAAACAAAAAAATATGCTATGTTTTGGATTTATCCTTGATGTGTTATTTTCTTTTGATGTGTTGATTATTGAGGGAAATTGGTGCATCGTGTTTTGGTGAGCATTTTCTAAGTGTTTGAAAGTTATTTCGGTTAGCGGACAACAAAGGTGGGTGACTTTCATTCTTTTGTGAATGAATATGTTCAAGGGTAAAAGAATGTGTATTTTACGATGTTCTCTTCGCTTGAACTATGGTATAAATGAATCTTTATCGATGCACATGGTTAACATGAAACGTGATATGAACTGTGGATATGTATTGTGAATTGTATATGTGTTGTAGTTAATGCGTAGTGGTTTTAAAAGTAATTGGTGTATATATAAGTGAAAATGTGCATGGATGAGTGAATGTCTCGTTGTCCATATAAGGTTGATCATGACAATCATTTTCGATAAGTGTTTCAAAGTGTATTTTGAAAGTGTATATGTGTAAGTTATGCATCATTTAATAATCACTCTTGATGAACTTGGATTAATTTGCTATTTGTTCTTAATGGGACATTTGGATATGAAAGGCATGCCTAGGAAAGAGTATTCTATGGTTTTCTATGTGTGAACAAGGGAATATACGGGGTAAGGTTGGTGCATTGAGTAATGCTCCAAAAAGATCACGGGGTAAGGTTGGTTCGTTGAGTTTACTTCAAAAGTCATGGTTTTAGACCTAAGTGAGTCCATAAATAAAAGGGAGTTGTATAGAGTTTTTTTATCTAATGAGTGAATTGTGTTTCAAATAAAAGGTCGTTGATCTTTAATTGAAATAATGTGTGCATTGAGTGTGACCTGCCAAGAGGTAATTGTGCATGAGTGTATGTGTTTTCTATTAGACATATGATGATAAACGACATATGTATATTCTAGATTTTGTGTGCATTTAGGAGGCAATGTGTGAACATAAAAGCATGACATGATGGTAAGAATGTTGAGGTAAAAACAAGTGATGAGTGATTGTATGTATTCCTTTAACTTTGGAATGTGCATTGCTTAAAATGTTAGTTGTTCACTAGGCTTTTCAACCCACACTCATGTTTAACACTTTTCATAGGATTAGTAGTTGAGTCGGAGAAGAGGAGAAAGCATCCGGAGGGGTCAAGCAAGGCATCACTAAATAAAGTGCATGTGGTTGAATTCATATAGTGTCAATGTGGGAATCATTTTGGGACTTAGCCTATTATTGATATGTTGAGTTGTAATAAGTGTGACATGATATATGGACTATTGATTTTTTGTTGGATTTTGTTAATTGGTTTTATTTATTGATTTGGAATATCGAACTCATGTTGTTGGTTAAATTGAATATCAAATTTGCCAAATATTGATTGGTGGCTTAAAAAAGTAGTTGGTGTGTTAGGTAAGTGACACTAAGTGTATTATATGTATGTAGACTCTTAGGATGCATAAATGACCCAAAATGCATAATTGGACTAGGTGACTTTATGTTAAAAAGAACCATTATGCAATGTTTGACTTTTGATGCTAGATTCTTGTATGATGTTGTGATTTGTATTATGAATCATGTTACAAATGTATTTTGACATGTATGATGTGGTATGAGAGTGTCCAAACATGTATCTAGTCCCTAGGATTGATTATATGAAAGTTTGATAACTCATTTATGTATGTTCTTGAGAATTCTGCATTTTTTCAAAAAAAAAAAGGATCGATCTCTTTTAAAAAAGGATTGATCCCTTGGCGAGAAGGATCAATCCCAAACTCGCTATTTTACAAAGGATCTATCCCTCGTGGAAAAGGATCGATCATTGTTTTATAAATGATAAAATTGCATTCATTAAAGGCCTTAAGTATCCCTAAGTCTTAGTTTTACCATAAGATGTTTATACAAGTTCAAAATGGTCCAAAAATTGATTTGCTAATTAAGATTAGACCTTATCTTGAAATTTGATGAGACTTAAGTTGTCACTCTTAAATATACTTAATTATATAATGAATGTGTCAATTACATGTTTGTTGCTTGTATGTGACTTTTGAGTTATTTATGTTTTTGATGTTCGATTAATCTGGAAATATGAATGTCGTTAATTAATGATTAATAATGAGTATTGACAATCTTAATTTGGTGATTCACTGTAACACCCTCAACCCGTATCCGATCCGGATACAAGTCTGAGGTGTCACATTGACTTTTCAAACTTTAATCTTTTAACGAAAACCAATGAAATTTAAAACTTTGATTAAAATAACATTGTCACTGTACACGAGTTAACCAAAATAAGACAAAACTAATCAGAGCATTTGAACTAACACTGTTCTTACATGCCAACACACTACATACAACAAAATACCTACTGTGACTTTACTTCTGATCTGATCGCTGAGTAAAGATAGGTTGATCTGCAAATTCCTATTCTTGATTCTCCTGCTCTTCGAAACCTACGTGTAAAAACACTTACACGCTAAGTCATAGACTTAGTGAGGCATAATTACATCATAAAGAATTATTAAAATATAAACATGTCGTCTACTATCCAAACACAATTATACTATCATACCATCATTTATTATACCACATATGAGCCAATACAAATCGTAATAATACCCTATTAAGATACAACTATATACATCCTCGTTATGTCTTATTTAAGTCCATATACACTATTGAGAACCCAAGGTATACGAGTATTATGAGATTGTGCACACGTATGCTGTCCCCACAGCTCCATGAATTTTCCGAAGGACCTATCCAGAGGTCATAAAGATCCTCGGTAACTATCCAGAGGTCATAAAGATCCTCGGTAACTATCCATAGGTCCCGAAGAACCTAGGTAAACTATCCATATGTTCCTTAGAACATAGGTATACTGTCCATATGTCTCGAAAGACATAGGTAGTTCTTTGACTCTTGGCATACCAACTATACTTACAGTTCTCATAACTCATATCATGGCATTGTCTTTTACCTTATTACATATTCATACATCATATCACATTTTTCTTTTTCTATAGCTCTTTATCACATGTTCATATGATCATCCCTCATATGATTTCATATTCATATTCTGTATATTTCATATTCTTTCTTATGTCCTTTTCATACTTCTTATTTCATATTCTTATGAATCATATTGATCATTTTAACTATTTCACATATTTAACACATTTATCTACATATTTACACAACTCATATATATATAATATATATATATATTGTAACATGTCAATACATATGCTCATTCATACATATAAACCATAACAAACACAGCACACACTTCATATACCTAATATAGATATCTCGTAACTCATTCATATATAAGCTCTAATCTGGAACATAGACTTACCATAATTTGCATAGTATATCCCATAATGTATATGGTATGAATTTATATCATATTTAATAATCTTGAATGAATCATGTATCAAGATATTAAATCTAGACTTATCGCAGTTCTAAAACTGAATATACTAACATAATCATGTTATGCACATGCACTCACCTTAGCCTTGTTTGAATTGAATCAACTAACCCTTCGTTTACTTTGAAACAAAGTCACGTTCAATATCTACATAAGCATAATTTTCAAGATGATTATCAGATGCCCAAGTCTTGAAATTAACCTCTAATATCCTACCAATTTAAGGGATTAATAGTTTAGTCTCTCTTCTTTCTTCTTTTTTTTTCATTATGGGGGAATCGGTTCCCCCCCTGGGGGTATCGATTCCCCTCTAGCATTCTGGAATTCTTACTCGTTTGAGGGGGAATCGATTCCCCTTGAATGGGTACCGATTCCCCTAGCCCAGAAATCTCATTTTGAGCTCGAAAATCACCTTATTTCAGCTCAAACCTTCCTATTTCACTTCCTTTAATACTCCTAACTTTAATACACATACTTAAACTTATTCTTATTCCCTAATCACTTCTTTAACTTCAAATCTAGTCATTCCTATGTAATTGCAAAAATTTATACTAGTTTTGCAACATGTTCAAATTCCTATTCTAACACTTCCTATCCCTTAATTGACTTGATGACAAGTCAAATTCAACTTCCAATTCTCAATATAAACTTTATTTCGATATTTCATTCAAAAACTTCAAATCTTTAAATCCTCATAAACTCTTCATTTTGTTGTTTTAAAGCAAATTAATCCTTCCTTAACCTTACTTAGCATCTAATAATCAAACTAAACTTAAATTTCAGCACATAATCTCAAGAGAAACTCACCTTTGCTTGGCTTCACACGTGGAGAAGAGAAAATGAAGAAGAAAAGAGAGAGATTTTTTTGGAAATCTCCCATCCTTATCCATATTTATATATCATTTAATTATAATTTTTCAAGTCTAATGACCATTTTGCCCTTTAATTCTTTGGATAATTACTATAAACTTTTAGGAAATATTTCCGAACAAATCATTAAACTATTAAACTATTATACTTTAATCACCATATTCTGAAATTTTACACTTTTGGTCACTAACCCGTATTTTGGGATGTTACATTCACCTTGTAATTATTTGGTTATGTAAATGGTTGATTTACCCCTAATTGATTGATTGTTATTATCATGCACTGTTATGATTGCTTCGAGACTTTAGATTATTCGTTGATATTCGTTGCCACATGTTGCATAATGTATGATTTAAATTTGTATGCTTTCTCTTAGTATGCATGATTTAGGGATTTTGTTATGTTTGATAATATCATAATCTAATGTACGCTCAAGTACTCGGGTATTTCCTCGTGACCGAGTATGGGGTGTTACAACAACCAATATAGAGGAACAAAATACGTCAATGAAAAAACCTTCTGTCAGAGGTCTCATATGCTGAAATGACGATTGACTCCCTATATGGTAAAATGGAAAATGAGTCAAGTGGGTGAATGATGTTGGTGGCACCAATGTTGAGGTTCTATTGTTGATTGTGTAGGTGTTTGTGTTGTTCCCGATGAAGAGGATGGAGTGTGTTTTTTCTCTGGCTTGATTCTTCTCCGCCTCTACCACCACATTGCGTAAGCGGATATTGTGTCGGCGGGCAGTTTAGGGTAGGCACATAAAATTATCATGTTCGCTCCTCTTCGGTCAATATATGT